TGGTGCCTGGCTCCCGTCCTCCAGAGTCTGTGCTATGTCTCCTGGTGCACAGCGATGAGTGCTGGCTGGCCATTCAGGTGGTGTTGTGCAGGTAAAAGGGAGATCAGAGAGCTGGACCAGAGAAAGCATTTCCTGATGTTGGTTGCTGGTGAGGAAGATGCCCTACCAAACCCTGCTGTGGGCTCCTGTTGGCTTTTCAAGGAGGAGGAGGAGACATCGTCCTGAGGAAGGGGCGTGCGTGGTCCAGCTGGAGGGCTCAGTGCAAGCTTCAATGTTATGAAAGGTGTCCCCAGAGCTGCAGGGCAAGGATCAATCTGCCAAGTGCAGATTTCGGTCGCTGGTGAGCTGAAGCCCTTCCCATTTGCGTCCAGAAGAAAAACAGGTTGGAGCAAATCCCTTAGGTGTGCTAGTGTCCTTCTGAGATGGCTTTTCTGGAAATTCAAGAGTAAATTAAATAAGTTCCCCAGGCTCTTAGCGTGTTTCCAAAGTAGTGCCAGTTGTGTGCATTGCACCTGTGGCTGTCCGAGTCCTCTCTTGTTTGGAGTTCGCCGGTCCAGCAGCACTCATCAGGTACCACACTGCTCTGGCATCAGTCGTTCTGTGGTGCTTCAGTTCCTTGTGCTCGCTCCAGCTAGAGGGAAAGCTGCATCTGGCTGGTGCGACAGTCATTCATAACTGTGTGCAATGCCAGTGCAAACTGCGCTTTTCTTCCTGCTTGGTGGTCCATCCTAAGCAAGTTTTGGGTAGTGGCAATGGAAGATGGTGTTTAGGATGAGCAAGTTGTGCATAGTGGATACTTGATACCTAGTGGAGAAAATTACGTGGTGACTGTAGTGCTTATGTACTTAAGAGTGTCTGATATAAGTTTGCTCTACCTGCATATTATTCAGATGATCAGTTTGTAGAGGCATCTGCAGTTTTGATATACTGATTTTGGCTGATTCCTGGAACTGGATACCTGTATTAGCACTGAGCATCTGCATCTAGCTTTTGGGAAATCTGTTACCTCACCAAAGCAGGAATGAGCTAGACAGGGTGAGTGGACATTAGGAGACTAAATGCTTGTTTTGCTTCAGCTTAAACAAATATTTTTTTAGGAAATGAACAGTTTCAGACCCTGTGGTATACGGATAGGTATGATTACAAATACCCTTTGCTCTGTGTTAGCATGGGAAATACTGCCTGTCGTTGTCAGTGGATTGAAGTGACCTTGCCTTGCTCTTGACCTATGTGAAAGTATTGTAGGTTGATTGCTTTGGTGCTCATCTCGTCTCATTGAGTCCCAAGTTTGCTATAAACATTTCTGTTTAAACAATAATGCAGTTCCTTTATAACCACTGCCGTAACCCCTCTGGTCTGTTCTGAGAGCAGGTGGCAGTTTCTGTGCCCAGCAAGGCATCGGCTGCTTCTTTACCTCAAGTTGTGTGGAGTGTCCGGCATGCAATGCTATGTCCTGGCCTGTCCCCAGGTGGTATGGGAAGGCAGTGCCCCATCCAGAGCTGTCAGCAGTCCCTGGTTTTGAGTGTGCTGTTAACTGTGGCTGTCCGATAATAAGGGCTTGGTAAAGGAAAGAGCTTGATTCTTGTGCTTTTGCTCTACGCCATCTCTGTCTCTCTGCAGAACATTGTGTCGAAGAATGCTATGCAGTACCGTGGGAATGCCCAGCACGATGCGCAGGAGTTCCTGCTTTGGCTACTAGACAGAGTCCATGAAGATCTGAACAATGTAGTGAATTACAGTGGCATGCCTCCACTCAAGGTAAGGGATTTTGCTGGGAGCCAACGTGGAAGAGTAGCTGTAACTTTGCATAAAATCTTTCTTTTTAAATTAGATCTACGTGTTGCCTTCTCAGCTCTGACAGTTTGTATGGAACAAAAGCTTAGGTTAACATACTGTTTGTTTCTGGCCCTCTGAATATAACTAGCCGTTTCACTAATCCCTGGCAAGTGCTCCCCAATACAACCATTTGTGAATGGTCACATACCACTCTGCCGGAGCTGGGAGGCATTACAGGGGAAGGCCTGCCAGGCACATCATCTGGTGTGAGATCCCTGCCTTTCTTTGGGCTGCCCTAGCTGCCTCACATTCCTGCGTAACCACCCGTGTGAGCAGAGCGCACTTGTTATTTAAAAATCTTGTGACATTTTTATGGTGGTTTTGAGCAAGGAGGGCACAGATTTGATAAGGAGTACTGGAGCCATCTAATGTGGTGCACCTCCACGCTTGGATGTGCTTCTAGGGTTTATTCTTCTCTTTTAGCCACCGCTGGAGGATGATGTGCTGCTCGAGGGACCAGCCTTTCCAATCAGTAGTACTTTTGTGCAGGAACTCTTTCAAGCCCAGTACAGGTATGATATTTTGCAAATTTTGAGTCATTATTGCATGTATTGATGACCCCAGTATAATTCTACTCTGACGCTAGCTCTCAGTACAATTGAGACTGGTGTCATTGTGTTAACAGCCACTAAGATCTTGCTCCAGAGGAGAGAGTTTCACTACTTCTAATTTGGTATATTCTGTGAAAATCTGCAGTATGTACCACCTCTTCACCTGCCCTGACTCGCCCTGAAAGCAAGTCGGTGCTCAATGGAGCAAAGGCTTGACACGACTCAGTGTTGTGAGGCTTACGCTGGCTGTTCAGAGGCAAGAGCCTGTGGCAAGATCTGGAGGTGCCTGGAGGCTGCTGGGGAGTTATGGATCCAACAAGTCTTGCAGAGTTTCTGTTATCTGGCACTTGGGAATTCTGAGCTGAATCTTTCCCTGTCCCTTCAGGGTTTTCCCATGAGTTTCCCATACTTCCTTTGAAGGGAGCTTTCTAATTTCAGAACTAATACGGGAAAACAACCTAATTTCTAGTGCTCCTCGATGGCTTCTATCTGTGCTACTATAAGAATTTTAATTGCTGGGCTTTCTCCCCAGTATTTGCCAAGGCTTCCTTTGCAAAGGAGAAGCCTTAAGCCTGGTATAAAACACAAAGCCAGTGTAAGGTGCAGGTTAATTCTGAATGAGAGAGATGTATTGTCTGGAGTTTTTTCCCTTCTGAGTAAGAGAGATCTGTACACCTGCAGTGCTGACTGTCGCCATCACTTCCCTTCTCTTCAAAGAGAAAATCCTTTCAAGTCTTCCATGTTGGAGCTAGTGTTGGTGAATTATTAATTTTCCAGTGATGTTTATTAAAAGCCAAATTCAGTGATTGGAGTGAAGTCTTTTTCTGACATGCGCTGTAATGAACTTTGAGACTAATTACTTTAAAAGGATCTAGAAATCAGGAATCCATCATTTAGAGCAGCTATGTCTATACAGCCTCTGTGCAGAGCTGCTCTGTATGGAGAAAGAAGAGTAGAAAGGGGCAGCCAGGTTGACATGCGAAGGCTGTTATTTGTGATTTGATGAATTATCCATTCCTGATGAAATGAGGTGTAACTCTTGTCTTATTATTGATATTTGTACTAGGTCCTCTCTGACATGCCCTCATTGCCAGAAGCAGAGTAACACCTTTGACCCTTTTCTTTGCATCTCTCTGCCGATTCCTTTGCCTCATACACGGTAAGTAACTGTCTTGTTAACTTCTTGTCTTGAACTTAACGTTGGCTGTTTCCCATGCATATAGTGTTGTTTAATTTGCTACAGAAGGAAGAGAGATGGCAGCAAAATCTCTCCTGTAAGTCTTTAAAAAAGATAGATAGGACCATATGGGGCTTAAATTTTTTTGCTTTGCAGGTAAATTGGAAAATTGAGCCTTTTACTTATTTCAGAATGGCCCTTTGCCCCCACCCTTAGCTTCCTATAGAATTAATTTTTTGGAGAAAAAAGATCTTTAATTCAGGTAACCAAAATATTTTGCTTTTGACTTAACTTACAGCATTTTGAAATTAAGAAGGGGAAAAGGATGAAACACTTTTTTTTTTACTTTCTTAAGAACAGTCTCACTGATCACTCCAATTTCAAAAAGTGCAGTTAAAAGCTTTCCTGCAAAATGTTTTGCTCTTTTGAAAGACAGCTGTTGCCAATAAAGAAAAAAGCTCCAGGGAGAAAAAAATCCAGATAAAAAGTTCAGAGCAAAGATAGAGATGCACAGCAAAACTACCCGTTGTATAAATAAGCAACTCCTTCACCTGATGTTTTGGATGCAGAACACTTGTATGGGTTCAAGAAGTAATGGAAGAAAGTAATGAAAGAACATATTAAATATGGTGATGTCACATTTGGTTCAGAAGTCCCTGCTCCACCACTGAGTGGAGGCTGAGCAGGCTTTCGAGGGAAGGTGTCCGTGGTAGGCTAGCTGCCCCACTCTTCTCTTCCTGAGGTAGTACTTCTGGTTGCTGGTGGAGGTAGGATTTGAGTGTTGAGAGACAACCTGGAGCAGCTGTTCCCAGCAGCAGCTCTCTCCGAGTGCTTTAAGGTGCTGCCTCAGGTTGCCCTAAGGTGCATTACAGGGTTCTTCTTGGAAAATTAAGATTGCCTTGTAATAGAGAGTTTTATTTTTAACTTTGTGAGGCTTTTATGAGAGGACTTTCTGCTTGTGGGAACAAGTAACACCAGTCCACATAGTAACAAAGGAGTCTTTGGAAATTGAATGTATTTGGCTGTGGCCAAGCGTAACTCCAGTGTCAGGTGGATCCAGACTGCCGAGACGGCCCCGTAGCTTACGGGCAGCCTGGATGCACCCAGGTCAGGCTGACTCTGTTCAAGGTACTGCCAGGAAATGCTCAGCCCAGCCCCAGCAGTGCCTCCCGTGCTCTCCGCAGGCCGCTCTACATCACCGTGGTGTACCAGGGGAAGTGCTCTCACTGCATGCGGATCGGGGTGGCAGTGCCCATCTCTGGAACAGTGGCCAGGCTGCGGGAGGCTGTCTCCTCAGAGACCAAGATACCCACGGAGCAGGTAACGGGCTGGTCTCGTCACCCATGTGCCCTGCCTTCAGCAGGAGGGAGTGCAGAGGCTTTCATCCCATGTTGGATATGTAGGAATTGAGATTTGCTGGCCATTATTGAATGGGGGAAGCACAGTGGTGATGATCTGGATCATGCTTTTCCCTGTGCATTGGCTTTTTGAAACTTAGTGACGTTGTGATAGCCATCTGTGGAGCGTGCAGACCTTCTGCCTGATCACCCGGTGATTCATGCATGTTGGCAGTGAGGGAACCATTGGGCACCTATGAGGAATTCCTCTATAGGAAGAGGTTCAAGAAAGCTGTCAGATCCCACCAAAACCTCTTCACATACCACCTTTACCCCAGCTTCTCCTTTATGGTAGTCCTTTTCCCCTCTTCCTTGCTCCTGGCCAATGCCAGGATGTTTTGAGGAATGTCCTTTTGTAGCAGGAAAATCCCAGTCAAGAGATGGGGCAGCTCACTGGACCAGGCACGGGTGGTTTAATGGGTTCTGGTTTGCTTCTGCTGACTCTAGATTGTGCTGACGGAGATGTACTATGATGGGTTTCATCGTTCCTTCTGCGATACTGATGACCTGGACACCATTCATGAAAGCGACTGCATTTTTGCCTTTGAGACCCCAGAGATATTTAGGCCTGAGGGTATCCTTAGTCAGAGAGGTAAGCCGATGACTCTGCTTAATGCACACCTCAGGTGACTAGGTGAGGGAGACTTGTTTTGGAAAAGGATATACTTGACAATAAAAGTACCACAAGTAGTTGATGTTCTGGTGTATTGATTTCAACTCCGACTTTGTCCATAATCATTCCAGGAGACTTAATGGTGTTGTCAGCCGGGAGGTTATCAAGAAGCGATGTACACTCCTTTATTCCTCTTCCCGGGGCTGATTCTTCAGGCTGGGCTGGCTTAATGTGAAATCTGTTGTCAGGCTTAATTTAAAGATCTGCTAGGGACCAGATGAAGCCACTGAAATTGTGTTATTTAAAATCAGATTGACAGTGATGAATAAACAGTCTCAGGAATGAACAAACACTTTCTCTTTCAAAGCAGAAAAAACTCAGCTTCTCTGCATCTCCCTCTCAGTGAAAGGGAATAATTGCATCCTGGGTAGACGGAGTGTAATCAAAGGCAAATTTTATTATTGGAGGTAACAAGTAGAGTTTCTGTCACTTTAGGTTTTCTTGCGGGCAGACAAAGCTATGCGTACTTGTAGAAATTACTGTGAAAAATCAGTTGGGTGAGCACTTACATATAATTTCTTTCTGTAAAGAAACAGTCACTATGAAAAGTAATTGCTCTTTGAAGCCTTCATACAAGTAATAAAAATGGTCTTGATTCCATACTGACCTGCTCCTCTGCAGCCGAAAGAGGGTTTCTTGAGGAGGGCATCAGGGCACTAAAGGCACATGACATAAAATGTTTCCTTTCTCCTAATTTTTCAGGAATACATGTGAACAATAACTTGAATAACTTGAAATGTGGCACTGAGCACTCCCGAACAATATCTTACTCGCAAGGAACAGTGAAGTCTGGAAAACTGGAACAGTCCTCTACTAAACCAGCAGCAAATGAGAAGATTGTTTTGCTGGTGTGTAACAGAGCGTGCACTGGACAGCAGAGCAAAAGGTGACTGGCAGCTTCACAGTTAGAGTTACTCTTCTGGCTGCTTCCTTAATCGACCTGGGTTTTACTCACCGCGTAGTGAAAACACAAGGTGAAAGAGCGACAGCTTGTGTTCCTAGCTTGCATTAGGTGCTAAAGAACATGTTGATCAAAAAACATTAATGAATGCAGCAAAATATTCCTAATTTTGGTGAACTTCAAATAATCCAGTGTCACTGGAAAGTGGTGAGTGCAGACCGGTCGGAAGGACATACCACCTCTCCATAGAGGTATCTGGTTTCAGAGAGCAGCAAGCATGTCTGACCAGATCCTGTGATGTGTGGAAATTTTTAATTGGAGTGCAAACAGTGGGTGGGGGGAAGTGAGAAACGACCGTGGCAAAGGCATTTGTACCAACTGTGGACTGAGAACTCTCTCAGCCGCTGAAGTTTGTTTCACAAAAAGTTATCCCAGCCAGGTTGCAAAGCTCTGCAGCCTGAAGCAAGCTGCTTGAGCACAGAGCAAGGGTGCAGCCTATTAAAAAGGGCCCTCTGCATGGGCAGCCATAACTGCATTTCCTCAAAGTTAAGCACCTCTCCTCTGGAGGCAAGTTCTTAAATGCCTGGTTTCTGGGTAGTTTCATCCAAAGTGTGCCGAGCTCCGTAGGTGCCGAGTGAGGAGGAGAGTGGCACTGTCAGAGTTCGGGGATCCGATTGCTGAATAGACTAATCTTTTAATTGCTTCCTCAAATGCTACTCCTTCCTGTAGGTTTGGCTTGCCCTTTGTGTTGCATTTGGAAAAAACAATTGCTTGGGATATTCTGCAGAAGGAAATTCTGGAGAAGATGCAGTATTTCCTGCGGCCTGCAGCCTGCATGCAGGTGAGGCAAATGGTTTGTCTGTTTTGAGACTTCCAGCTCTGTGTCATGTGAACTAAAGGGGAAGCCAGTTACTTGGAGTGATAAACATGCTGCACATGATGAACTGAAGGCTTCCCAATATGTCTTTGTGCAATAATGTCCAAGTCTGGTATTCCACCTCTTTGGTGCTTTTGTCTATTTGCTGAAAGGTACAAGTAAGATTAGACTGACCAGGTGAAGAAATTGCATGCTTCGCTTCCTTCCTTCCTCCCAAGAAATACTTGAGAGATTAGTGCTGCTGCCTGCACTGGAAATCCGCTGGTTGGTGGTGTTTGCCTAAAAGAAAAGCTGAAACGTTTGCTCAGTGACTGCGTGTTTCTGATGAGAACTCCCTCTGAGAGCAGAGGAGTGTCTTCTCTGGTCACCGTAGAGTTGTTGTTGAGCACAAAGCCTCAGTTGGTGTACCTCACCCCTCTGTTAGCTGCTTGGCGTAGGCATATTGGAGACCTTGTGCATTTGCTGTCTCATGTAAAACACACGTTCTGGGATAAAGTATGTGTCAGCTGGTGCCGAGAGCAGGTTTGCACATGGGTAAGTTGGGTTTGAGTCACAGATGGCTTCTACTCTCTTTGCAGGTTTGCCCATTCAGCTTGCGAGTGGTCAGTGTTGTGGGCATAACGTACTTGCTACCTCAGGAGGAGCGACCCCTCTGCCATCCAACAGTGGAAAGGTGGGTTAGTCCTTGCTCCCAGGAGTGGAGAGAGGTTTGTCAGCTGGGAACTCAGTGTGTAGCCATACAGAAAGGGACAGTCTTGGTGTGCGTGTGGGGAATGGACTTCACAGACCTGAGGAGCAGGGAAACAACTGAGTGTCCACAAGAAGCTGTGTGAGGATTGCTCAGTTGTGTGTCAGGCCATCTGGAGTCTGTCCTCCTTGGAAAGGGAAAGAAAATAAAAGTATTACTCCTCCCATTTTTTTTTTTTTGTGATTTTTATTCTTTAGAAATTTTTGTAGATGCCTGTTCTGTATGTTTATTTACAGAATTAATGTACTTGGGTAAATGCAGTTTGCCAGCTGTTCTTTGCTGTATGAATTCCTTTTACTCTTTTGCAAACTTGAACTGTGTGGGAGTGGAAGAAGGATGAAGGGCTAGTGGAGAGAAGTTATATGCATGTAAAAGATAACGTAGGCTTCAGATTGAAAGGTGGTTTAACTTCTGTCTGCTCCTCTCTCCAGGGCATTGAAGTCATGTGGACAGGGGGGAACTGCTCATGTGAAATTAGTGGTAGAATGGGACAAAGAAACTAAAGATTAGTAAGTATGAAGTAGAAAGCCTTAAAGTGTGTTCACCTTGAGAGCAATGCTTGTGGCCAGCTTGGCTCTGTGTGAATTGTGTACCCTTCAGCAAACATGAGACCTGTCAGAAAGTCCACCCTGTGCCTTGGCTCCCGTCTGCAGCGACAGACTGGGGCTGGGTGCACTAGACTTGCTCAGAGTTGGAGTCCTTTTCTCTGTAGTTGGGGTTTTGTATTACGGAGCAGGCGTCTCACCTGTGGCTCCTTCCCCTATAAATCATATTTGTGTGAGAAAGTTTGTCATCTTTTTCTGTCTGAGATAAACTGGAGTGGGTGCTCCCTGAAGCTGTTTACCCCTGTGTTCAGCTGTGTTGCCCTGGGGGGATCTCTTGCCAGTCAGCTCTTGCTCACGTGCAGTGGGACAAATCCAGGAAAGAGCTGCTGTTTGAACCTTTAGAATGGCTCCTCGGCAGCGTGGGGAGTGGGTGGATGTGCTGCTAACTGTGTTGTCTCCCTGATGCAGCTTGTTTGTGAATACGGAAGAGGAGTATATTCCAGACTCCGAAAGCGTCCGCCAGCAGAGAGAGCTTCATCATCAACCTCAGACCTGCACTTTATCTCAGTGTTTCCAACTGTACACCAAAGAGGAACAGGTAGGGACCAGACTGTGTAGCAGCCAAGACTCGAAAGGTCTGGCTGGTCCACATGTTGCCTGAACTCCCACACTCAGCAGAGTAGCTGTTTTCTGCAAACAATGATTTGTTGAAACAGGAGAATTTGTGACACAACACTAGTTATCAGTCCTGCTAACAGAGTCTCTGCAGTGAGGAGAAGGTTGTGGGAGGTACTGCTTCTGGGTTTTTTGTCCCCCAGGTGTTGATAGGAGAACTTATTCCTCTGTTCTGCAGTAGCAATGTCTTTTTCTGGCATACATTATAAAGGGTTAGAACAGCGTGGCTTCTTCATGGGAATTTAGTGCTCTGTCTTGGAGCAGTTGTGTGTTTCCAAGCCTGAGCAGGGCTGGGGTGAGCACAAGGCAACCCCCACTGAGTGGCGGCC